TTATATTTTTATATTTATTAGATTTTTTTAAATATAAAAATTATATAGATATATAATAATTTAAATTAAAACATGTATATTTTTTTAATTGTACTACTAAGTAAAATCATACGTATCCATTATTAAGCTAAGGAAAAAAAAAAACACACAAAACGTCGATTATTATTATTTTTTTTAACCAATAAAATGAAATTTTGTTATTTCATAATTTGATTGGTTTATATATCAGATATATGTATTAACATTATTTTTTTGAGTGAGAAAACTTTCATTTAGACACACTCACTGGAAATACTGGCTGGCTGGAATAATCTGGAAGTTCAGCGACCTTCTAGACTTCCAGTATGCAACACTGGTCTAGAAGATATCCCATTCCACCTACGCAAGCAAATGTGAACAATATGAACCCCTACGTACGACCGATAGCAGGCATGTCACCGATGGCAGTGACTCCTCCTATGCCGTCGTCAATGCACACGCCTATGCAATCACCATTACCTTGTGGTCCCACTACAAATCAGATCCCGATAGCTGCCAACTCGTATGTTCAGTTTCAAGCTCGAGCTGGTGTCGGTGCTCAACGAATAAATCAAGGAATGACCACTCCAACTTCAGTAAAGACTAACAATAGGCGTACGAAGGGTGCTGCAAAGGTAATAGATTAATGATTCGATTATTGATATTGTGAAAATTTTATAATTCAATTATTATTTCGACAGAGTAAGACATCAATGATTTCCATGGCTGACGCAGTTGTCGATGAAGCAGATGAGCCTTCCGGAGGTAAATTTTATTACGTGTTTCATATTTCTTTTGTATAAGATTTTAATTTAAATGTATTCATATATTAGATGAACTTGACAATCTAAAATTCCGGGACGTTTCCATGGCACGATTCAAAAGGTGTCATGAGTATATAGCTGAAATTTTCTCTCCTTACAGTATTAGTAAGTTACAAAAAAATATATATATATATATTATGATTTCTCACAAACAATAATTACAAATTACTGATGTTTATAAAATTACATTGGCATTTTAAATTTAAAGGTGCGATAATACCGCCAGAATCACCATATCAATCAAAAAATATTGAGGAATTAAAAAAACAAATTGTTAGCAGAGCCATTAAAATTTTTGAATTGTTCTTCTTGCAAAATTATGATAAGTTAAATTCACCTATAACACCATCTTTAGGCTGAAACTCAAACTGAGATTGAAAAGATGAGAAGTGAACATTCAGAAAAGATGAAGAATTTTACATTAAGGACAGAAGCTTTATCCAAAAGCATGCAGGAAATCAGGAAATGTAACTATACGGAGGTTAGTCTCTAGATTGTAATTCATATAAGTTTTGATTTTTAATATTAAATTTTCCATTTATTTATTTCCTTTTTTATTAAAAAGGAATTACTTAAAATACAAGAAAAGATAGAAAAAGAATCTGATTTTATCATTGAACCATATGATCATGTGACACTGGTTCAAATACATAATGCGCCGGATTCTGAAACGGATGAGAATGACCAACATGATATGATGCAAGATGATGATGATGAATTAGACGAAATAGATGAAGAAATAGATATAGAAGATCAATTAATAAACCCAATTTCATCGACAGGCGAACAATTGGGCAGCGGATCTAAAGAACTTCAATACAGTCTTGATGGATCATTAGTAGGAGCTAACAGCAATGAACTAATAGATAGTAATAATAGCATTGAGGGAATTGTTGGTTCTAGTGGTGTTGTTGATAGCAGTGAAATTCAGGGGTACTTAAATCAAGCTGGTGTTCCGGGCATGTCCGGAGATCCGAATATGGTGGGCCATTCACCATTTACGAGTAATACTATTCTTAGTAATGAACCTAATTATATGGGGGATTCGATTCTTAATGTGGTTGAGACTGCGTATCAAGAAGATTCAACGGGATTAGTTTTTGATTTTATAAACGCTGACGACGAAGTTATGAATGACAACGGCGATCCCCATTTGGCGTATAATAATTAAAAGGGGATTAATAAGCTATAAAGCAAAAAATAAATAAAATGCTTTAAAATTTTTGTGTTTGGTAATTAATATTGACTATGTCTATTTTATAATTTAGTATTAGTGAAATTAAAAGGGAAATTAATAAGCTAAAAAGCAAAAAATAAAATAAAATGCTTTAACATTTTTGTTTTTGGTAATTAAGATTGATTATGTCTATTTTATAATTTAGTATTACTGTATTAGTGAAGTTTATTATTCACTTAATAAACATTATACATTCGTTATACATCTCTTCATAAACTTTTACTAACAAATTTATACATCGAAAGAATTCTTTATTTTCTTTGAAATGTATCTACAATCCATTCTTTAATTACTTCAATTGCACCTTCCTTGACGGAACATTTTTCAAATACAACTTCGTTCTCCAGATGCTCAAACTTAAAATTTTCTGATTCGTAACCTAAAAATTCTACCTCATCTATTGAATCTTGATGGTCCAATCCAGATGTGCGAGTTATTCGTAAACGGTTTCTTTATATTTGAAAAAAATAATTAAAAAAACTAGTGATAACCTTTTTGAATTCAAAAATAGACATTTAAAACATACATTTCATTTTCTAGTAGGGTTTGTATACGTTCGGGTGGTAAAGCTGTAATCATGTCACTCATATTACATGCGATTAATGTAGGAATGTTTTTTACTTTTTTATGTGAAAATATGTCATAGAGATACCTACACGGTTTTTTTTTTTTTATAAAAAAAAGACGTGTAAATAATTAAATAAATAAATCAAGTGAATAAAATCATTAGATATTTATTGTTTAGTATGAATAAAATAACTCACTCTGCAATTTGCCTTGAATTTTTTGCACAAGTCGAACTATCGATAAGAAATATAATTCCACGCGTAATAGGTATAAAGTCTGAAAATTTGAATCGTAATTTTTCATGTCCTGGTACATCAACAAAATGAATTGGACTTTTTGTTAATAGTTCACCCTAAATGTTTAAAAAATAAATCCGCGAATTTAAATGTTGATGAAAAATTAAATGACAAAATAATAATAATAGCATTAATAATAATAACAATAATAATAATAATAATAATAATAATAAATTGACTTTATACGTTATTATTTATTATAAAATGCCCTTCATTTTCTTTCATAGATGTGTGAGTTTGCACTAAAGATCCGTATCGTAACTAATATGAATTAACATGATAAAAATACTTTATCTAAATAAAAGTTAAATATGAAAAAAAATTGGAAAAACATACGTACCCTAAGAAATAATGAAGTTTTACCCGAATCAGATAAACCTAATAAGAGAAATGTGTCTTTTTTTGATCGATTTCCGACAAAATTTAAGGCAGCTTTCAGATTTAAGTACGAATCATTTATAACGAAAAATAATGGATTAGATGTACGAATAGAGGAAAATTTGTCTTATAGTCGATGTTTTTTGAACTTTCACGGTATGAAGATTATAGGCCTATTATAATAATATTCGCCATGTTCCATTCTCTGGTGATCAAACCGTAATTTGAAAGCAGTGTATAATAAATTTTGTATGTTTTACTTACCGACAACAATTGCGAGAACTATTATCGCAAGTATCGCCCATGAAAACGTAGATATATTCATTTTTTTACTTAAATCGAACAAGATTTGCGAAATTTTAAATCATTATATACCGTGAACTGGTCGCAATATGATTGGTTTTTGGGATTGGCCAATCATTTATCAATGAAAAAGAGTATAAATTAATGCAAAATTTCAGTTGTGAACTTACGAAACATAAAATGTCAAACATTGTTCAACCTCTTTGCGTTCCTTCTTCGTATAAAGACCAACAGTACCAAGTATGTAAATCTGATAGAAACCTTTTTTGACTTGTTAATAATTTAATGCCTTCAAACTTAAAAGGGTACATCAACAGATCTTGCCAAAGATCTTTCAAATAGTACAACCCTTTATGTGGGAAACTTGTCGTTCTATACAACCGAAGAACAAATATATGAACTATTTTCAAAAGTTGGTGAAATAAAGAGGATTATCATGGGGCTGGATAAATTTCAAAAAACTCCTTGTGGGTTTTGTTTTGTTGAGTAAGCTTCATGTTTCTTAAAATAGGGTTGTTTTTCTTTCGTGTTTTCAATAACCGCTTATATTATATTTGTAACAATTTATAAGATATTATCATCATCAAGATGCATTGGATTGTATGAAATATATCAATAGCACAAAACTAGACGAACGAATCATCAGAACCGATTTAGACCCTGGCTATAGGGAAGGAAGACAATTTGGAAGAGGAAGGTCCGGTGGACAAGTATGTTATTTGGACATCTTATTATGTTTTTCTATTACTCAACACCTTTAACGGTCTAAATATTCGCGTCTATTTTTTCTTTTCCTTTAACAGGTTCGTGACGAATATCGACAAGATTATGATACGGGCCGTGGAGGATGGGGTCACGTTCGTGCGCGACAAGAAGCTGAACGAGCAAGACGTCAAAAAGAAGAATATGAAGCTATTACTACAATTCCTGTCGGCGCTGGAGAATATAAAGGAAAAGGTGAATAACCTTTTTACAATCTCGGGGGGTTTTTTTTTTTTATAATACTATATTGACTTTTATCATTATCCTCAGCAACGGTCACGAAGAAACATTCCAGAAATGAGGAAGACGAGGGAGCTGAACTTTATGGTGTTCAAGAGAAAGTCAAGGTATTACTTCATTTACTAAATATTTACGAAATTTAATTAGATAAACTTTATAAATCTTTGTTGATTTTATTTTCAATAAAGAACCCACGATTTAGAGAAGGTAGATCTGACGATGAATATGAAATGCAAACTGATGCTTGACTGTTTAACGATTTTGGTTGAAAATTGTAAGCTTGGCCGAGATGCGGCGTCAGATTAATTGGTTATTATCAAAAATTAAATTTGTTAATAACTATTATGATTGGGAACTCCCACTGAACACGCTTGTATTTTATTTTACACAAATTAAACGTCTTTGTATAATTGTTTCCGGAATAAAAAATAAAAGTCATTGTTTACGCAACATTTTAAAGTTAGTGACTTACATCCAATCGAATTTAAGATAAAGTGTAATGTGAAAGTCACGTTTTGCAAAAAATCATTCGTAATTTAAATTTGCTTATTATTAAACCAGCCTCTGTGCTCTAAAAAGTTCCTTGCGAAATTTTAGTAACCGGTAGGTGGACACGACTGATCAATTGTGTAATGGATTTTCAAATTCAAATAATAGGACGGTCCCTCCTGAAGGGGTATAGCATTGAATAAAGACGCATCAATTCCTGAATTTTTTGCACAAGTCGAACTATCGATAAGAAATATAATTCCACGCGTAATAGGTATAAAGTCTGAAAATTTGAATCGTAATTTTTCATGTCCTGGTACATCAACAAAATGAATTGGACTTTTTGTTAATAGTTCACCCTAAATGTTTAAAAAATAAATCCGCGAATTTAAATGTTGATGAAAAATTAAATGACAAAATAATAATAATAGCATTAATAATAATAACAATAATAATAATAATAATAATAATAATAAATTGACTTTATACGTTATTATTTATTATAAAATGCCCTTCATTTTCTTTCATAGATGTGTGAGTTTGCACTAAAGATCCGTATCGTAACTAATATGAATTAACATGATAAAAATACTTTATCTAAATAAAAGTTAAATATGAAAAAAAATTGGAAAAACATACGTACCCTAAGAAATAATGAAGTTTTACCCGAATCAGATAAACCTAATAAGAGAAATGTGTCTTTTTTTGATCGATTTCCGACAAAATTTAAGGCAGCTTTCAGATTTAAGTACGAATCATTTATAACGAAAAATAATGGATTAGATGTACGAATAGAGGAAAATTTGTCTTATAGTCGATGTTTTTTGAACTTTCACGGTATGAAGATTATAGGCCTATTATAATAATATTCGCCATGTTCCATTCTCTGGTGATCAAACCGTAATTTGAAAGCAGTGTATAATAAATTTTGTATGTTTTACTTACCGACAACAATTGCGAGAACTATTATCGCAAGTATCGCCCATGAAAACGTAGATATATTCATTTTTTTACTTAAATCGAACAAGATTTGCGAAATTTTAAATCATTATATACCGTGAACTGGTCGCAATATGATTGGTTTTTGGGATTGGCCAATCATTTATCAATGAAAAAGAGTATAAATTAATGCAAAATTTCAGTTGTGAACTTACGAAACATAAAATGTCAAACATTGTTCAACCTCTTTGCGTTCCTTCTTCGTATAAAGACCAACAGTACCAAGTATGTAAATCTGATAGAAACCTTTTTTGACTTGTTAATAATTTAATGCCTTCAAACTTAAAAGGGTACATCAACAGATCTTGCCAAAGATCTTTCAAATAGTACAACCCTTTATGTGGGAAACTTGTCGTTCTATACAACCGAAGAACAAATATATGAACTATTTTCAAAAGTTGGTGAAATAAAGAGGATTATCATGGGGCTGGATAAATTTCAAAAAACTCCTTGTGGGTTTTGTTTTGTTGAGTAAGCTTCATGTTTCTTAAAATAGGGTTGTTTTTCTTTCGTGTTTTCAATAACCGCTTATATTATATTTGTAACAATTTATAAGATATTATCATCATCAAGATGCATTGGATTGTATGAAATATATCAATAGCACAAAACTAGACGAACGAATCATCAGAACCGATTTAGACCCTGGCTATAGGGAAGGAAGACAATTTGGAAGAGGAAGGTCCGGTGGACAAGTATGTTATTTGGACATCTTATTATGTTTTTCTATTACTCAACACCTTTAACGGTCTAAATATTCGCGTCTATTTTTTCTTTTCCTTTAACAGGTTCGTGACGAATATCGACAAGATTATGATACGGGCCGTGGAGGATGGGGTCACGTTCGTGCGCGACAAGAAGCTGAACGAGCAAGACGTCAAAAAGAAGAATATGAAGCTATTACTACAATTCCTGTCGGCGCTGGAGAATATAAAGGAAAAGGTGAATAACCTTTTTACAATCTCGGGGGGTTTTTTTTTTTTATAATACTATATTGACTTTTATCATTATCCTCAGCAACGGTCACGAAGAAACATTCCAGAAATGAGGAAGACGAGGGAGCTGAACTTTATGGTGTTCAAGAGAAAGTCAAGGTATTACTTCATTTACTAAATATTTACGAAATTTAATTAGATAAACTTTATAAATCTTTGTTGATTTTATTTTCAATAAAGAACCCACGATTTAGAGAAGGTAGATCTGACGATGAATATGAAATGCAAACTGATGCTTGACTGTTTAACGATTTTGGTTGAAAATTGTAAGCTTGGCCGAGATGCGGCGTCAGATTAATTGGTTATTATCAAAAATTAAATTTGTTAATAACTATTATGATTGGGAACTCCCACTGAACACGCTTGTATTTTATTTTACACAAATTAAACGTCTTTGTATAATTGTTTCCGGAATAAAAAATAAAAGTCATTGTTTACGCAACATTTTAAAGTTAGTGACTTACATCCAATCGAATTTAAGATAAAGTGTAATGTGAAAGTCACGTTTTGCAAAAAATCATTCGTAATTTAAATTTGCTTATTATTAAACCAGCCTCTGTGCTCTAAAAAGTTCCTTGCGAAATTTTAGTAACCGGTAGGTGGACACGACTGATCAATTGTGTAATGGATTTTCAAATTCAAATAATAGGACGGTCCCTCCTGAAGGGGTATAGCATTGAATAAAGACGCATCAATTCCTGAATTTTGTAGCATAAATAAACGATTAAAAAGAACCTTAAATATACATTCTTAGTTTGGCAAGATGAACGAAAATATGCAGATACAGCCTGACGGCTCTTTTACTTCACCTATTATGAGTTTTACGTAATTTCGCTTTTAAATCTTCAAACTTGCTTTTTTACGC